TCATCAGAAATGTGAGATGACAATGGCTGAAACTTTTTTTTTTTTTTTTTTAATTCGACAAGTTATCCAGTGGCTAACTACTCAGCAGACTTCGTTTTTGCAGTAGCAGCTTTATTTCAAGTCAGAGCCTCTCTGTACTTCACTGTCCGATCTTCATACCCAGTTGTTGTTCTTGTAATAGGTTCTAAAATGAATCCTGTTGAAATGTGTGAATCTTTCCAGCAGCAGTACGAGTTGTTTAAAACCTAACTGAACTTAACCTGCAGTGCTCTGCTGTCTGCCTATAATGATACCTCCATTCTGCAGTGTAACATTGCTAACTCTCGCATATTGCGTTGTCACAGCCCACACTATCAACAGTTTTCATTGGGACTACTTCTTCAGTAGAACATAGTTCATGTGGAGTGAGCCGTACTGCAAACTAAACTCCATTCACCTACATCATATGTAGGTGTACATGATATGTCTTCACAGGTGAAACTACCAGTTGATCTCACATCAGTGATGGAAATGTAGCACTTTGTGCGGGATTGTGTACATGCAAGTGGTCAAGAAGATTTGTCATGCTATCTTTTATGTTTTACACACACACACACACACACACACACACACACACACACACACATATATATATATATATACACACACACACACACACACACACACACACACACACACACACACACACACACACACAATCCCTGCACTTTCGCTTGCATAATTTTTTTTTTTAAAACGAAAGTACTGCCAGATGAGCCAAGGGGTACTTTTATTTTAACTGATGAGATAAACCTGTTAGTAAATTAGGCTGTAACAATGTCTTAGAAGAAAATTGCCTATAAGAGTGTTGTTTCAACAGAAATACACAGAAAAACAAGTGCACTGCCTGTCTCATTATTCCAACAAATCCATATGGCAGCCCGACATTATATGTTGTCAGTTTAAATAGTACCCTCTTTAAATTTTGCATCATAAGCAGCTGTCTATATTAAATTTTAAATGCTCAGAAATACTGTATGTTCCTGCCACTCTTTTGCATTTGAGTACTAATGTTAATGTGGTTGAAATTATTATTATTATTATTATTATTATTATTATATTATCATCAGTGAAATTCATGCCAGTTGATTTTCTGACAGTCTAGTCTATACATAAAAAAAAAAAAGAATAGTTGCACTGAACAGCCAAATCTGAGTTGACTGACAAAATTCTTAGTTGGGTACAGCCCTAGATATATATAGCTGGTGTTGGTAATGACAGAAGGGTGTGCTAGCTGACTGTAAGAGTCCAGCATAGGCTGAACCTCTTACTGCAGTTCATTTGTATTTCTGTACATGTCGACTCAAAACGAGACTACTGAGGAAACTCGGGGCCCCATACCAAGAACTGACAGGTCACTAACGGGGTCTGATGCAGTTACTTTCTCCATGAACAAAAATCAGATGTATGCTGAAGTATTCCTGAAACAATTGATAAATCAATTAGTCGATTGTCAAAACCTGTCAAAGTGTTGATAATCAGTTTCATTTTATTCAAATACTTGATTCACTCTCTTGATCCTGTCAAGTGACTGTGTTTGAACAGTTGTTCAAGCAAAATAAACTCTGATCGACATTTTTCTGACATATTATAGACCCAGTGATGAATACCTTAATCCAGAAAATAGACTTAACACTAATGTTACTGTTTATTGCTATTAATTATATAAAGGTTCATACACCCAGTTTATTTGGTACCACTTATAATCCATTTCCTACTGGAATTTGACATAGTAATGCCCTAGCTTGGTCACATCTCAGTCATTTTCCCTTGATAGTTCTGATTCAGGTGTTGGCAAGCTTAAAGCGGTTTGTTTTCAGTATCGATTTGTGTTGTTTGGCTGACTGTCGTGTTCTACAAACACGCTGAATACAGATTTGCTGCTTATTTATCATTGATGTGGTGACAGGTACTTTGTGTCTGTGCTAGTCAAGCAAAAATAGACAAGTGCGCAGGATGGAGGTAAGTCCCTCTTGTGGCTCCTATGAAGAGATGCAAGTGACTCGTTCTGTTGACACTGGAAGGCGCACTGTTACAGTGTGTAATACTTAGAACTTTTATTAATAGCACAAGTGTTTTTAATTAGTCAAATTAAATGTGTGAAAACTGGAATCAATGCACACATACTGGACAAGCACTCAGATGCATGCTGTGTAACTACAGCTATACTCTGTCCTCTTAGAAGAACACACAGACTAACAGTCTTCTTAATAAAACAGGCCAGAGCAGTGTGTTTAGTCTGACTGTCTGCCTGGCATCATTTGGAGAAGCGTCTCAGATTAGTCAACCACATCCTGTCTGACCACACTGCAAGAGTCTGGCCTTATGTTTGTCTTCTCTCAGTATTTCTCTGTCATATCAGACATAATGTGTGTGTATGTCAGTGGCTGTGCTCATTTTAATGCTTTAACTACCCTTATTACAAGAGACCCACACTTCTTCAACAGGTAGAATAGAAAGAAGCACTGTGGGCACAAATTCATCAACTAAAACTACACAAGGTGTTTGTTTGGGCTCCATTCACATGACATGCTGGTATATTTTTTTTAGCCTATCCAAGTGACACTTTTTTTTTTTTTTTTTTTTTTTGCAGAAGTGTGAGCTCACTCTCTCCAACACAGACAGGATACAGACAGGGCTTATCTGTTGAGGTTGAATCAGAGGAGGCCAGTGTCAGCTGGCTTTTATTTGTCTACTGTTTGATTTGTTCTTCTTTAGGCTCTTCCCAGAACCATAACACACAGACAAATTTGTTTTTGGGGACTTTAGATTAACTGACATTCATTTCCTGGAGACTTACCCTAACCACTACTTGCCTAACACACACCCTAACCTTAAACCAAGTTGGCTCTCAGTGATTTTCAGGGTGGGGAGCCGCATCTTGCTCCCAAGAGAAGGCTGAGTGTGAAAACCGGTTTTGGTCCCCACAGTGTGAGTAATACCAGACAGACAGACATACCGAGTTACTGTTGTTTGGTTGATGTAAATGTTTCACATTGCTGACTTTATCTGTCTGGAATTCATCTCCAAACAAATTCTATGATGTCTGCTGCATTACCCTTTTCTTGCTGTTAATACTCTGTGTGTGTGTTTCAATGTCACACACTGTGTGCTGGCCCTGTAAATTATTCAGAAGTCTTGTGTTGCTTTAAACTAGCCAGCTATGTTTCTTAGCTGCATAGTCTGATTGCTCAGTCCGCCTTGTACTGGGGCAAAGAAAGAGTGACCTGGTTTATTCATAGTACTCTATAACACTGCTAATTGTTTGAAGCCTAAGGGATTTCTAAGTAGACTTCTCACATTAAGCACATTCTTGGCTCTGATAGTGTCTGGTCTGCTATTCCCAAGTGTTGAATGATATTAGAAATCCACTGACCTGTGGCTCCGTTATTTTTTGGAAACAAAAACAGTTGCAACTAGACATCACTCAAAGCACAAACCTTCAGGACAGCTCAGTTTCCCCATAATGGCAGTGTACCTAAGAGCAATATTTCCATGATAGTTTGATCGGAGTTTTGTGTCTGTCTGTTTGACCGAGTGTGGGGCTTAGCTGCATACGCAAGGTGCAGGGCAGAGAGGCTACAGCAGGGCTGACAAGAAGATGAAGCCTGCACTTTGACTGCATTCACATAAAATCCTTCCTGCAAGGTTGTGCAGAGGTGCGGTCTTGTTTGTTTGTACTTTAGAATGTAACCGCCTTGAAACAATCAGAAAATAATGTTTTATATCTGCGATTCACTGCCTTGTTTTGCTGGCACTGCCGTCCCTCATTATTCACACACTAGCTCACTTGGCCACCACTGGTCAATGTCTTCCTTGCGGAAGAACACTTAGAACACAGGCAGTGAAATTTGGGCACAAAGATGAAAAAAAAAAGCTGTTAGGTACGGGTTCGTTCCTACCAGTGAGCTGCTGATAGATAGAACAGCAATTATAATCATCGCTTAAAGATGAGGATCCTTGTTGGCAATGTCAAATTATATGTTTGGTGTGTAAATGTACACACAATAAATAAATAAATGAACGAACACACAACACTTTTTACTGTTGCCATTTAAGTTCTGCACCTGCGATTTGTTAATAAGAAGGAAAATAAAGTATCAATTTCAAATGTCATATCCTGTCAGTCTCCATCCATTTTGCTTAAACATAAATGTTACAGGAGATACAGTATATTTGTCACTGTTGTTGGTTGTTTTCTGTGGAGATCAGATGCCACCAAAGACAATGTATTTTACTGGTACATAGTATAGCACTTGACTAAATGGACTTGTTTCAAAAACCCTCTGATTATACATGTACATTTTATAACCAAGTTTATTTGGCTAGGCCTTTGCCTGTCTGTTGTTCCTAGGAACTGTTGTGACTTTGATGCAGTGTTTTCTGGAAAGGGCTGCTAAAGGGTCTGACTGTCATTCCCAATCGTACATGGAGTTAGCAGGAACTTTGGTGGGATGCCAGCCTTGTGCCCTCCATCTTCAATACAGCTGTGTGCATGAGTGAGTTTATGGACACACAGTCTGTCTCAGTCAGTCTGACAGAGTCGGTCGGTCTGGTCTCTCTCTCATGCACAGATTCCCAGCAGCAGAGCAAATGTTTGATGTTTTCTTCCCAAATAACCAAACAACACGCACCCAGACAAACACATTATGGAGGGAGCAGTGTACAGTGGGGTTAAGAAGCACAGAGGATAGATGTGGAAGTGCAAAAAAAAGTTGCACTCAGGCTGAACAATTTCATGCCCAAGTGAGATGCTTAGTAGTAAATTTAAAAGAATTTTCTAATTGTCTAATTTCTTTCTCTAAAATGGCATTAATGTTCAGGTGGTAGATGTTTTAAATATACATAAGTATTTATTGGGCTATGTTCATATCTACTGCGACTCTTGGATAAAAAGACAAGTCAAGCAACAATTTCATCTCTTTATCTCTTTCATTTCTTCTTCTCCCTTCATCCTCCAGCTCTCCAGTGTTACTGTGACCGCTGCAGCGTCAACTCCAGCTGTACGACAGATGGTGTCTGTTTTGTCTCCCTCCGCATGTCGGGCAACCGGGCGATTACCGAGCGGCGCCAGTGCATACGTGAAAATGAACTGATCCCACGAGACCGGCCTTTCATCTGTGCCCCATCCGCCAAACAGGACATAGGCATTTACCCAATATGCTGTACCACGGACTACTGCAACAAAGACCCCGACCCCATAAAGATAACTGGTAAGTTCCCGAAAGTCTTGGATTGTGCACCAGCGTAATTAACAAGTGGCAAAAAGAGAAAGAACGAAACTATTGACCAGGTGTGACAGACTCTGTGTTATGAAGAACAGCAAACAGGTGTCCATTCCCACTGATCACCTCAGGACTGATGGATCTGAAGGAGTGCCCATTACTGGGTGGCAGTCCTCCTTGGCACATTATCGGTCACTAGTCATATTATGTTACAACCACTAATCCTAACTATTTAAGCTCTGCATCAGTTTGGCATTGCCATTATCTTTATGCTTCATTGTTGTAGTCACAGAAATAACCAGCGCCATGGTTCATTATTCAGTATCTATCAGTCAGTTTTGAAATGTGTTTCCTTTAATATACTGACGGTATGAACAGGGTTGGTCTCCCCCCTCTTACACAATCATTCATGGCCTATGATCTGATGCAGAAACAGCGCAATTGAACATGTGATGATATGATGCAGCAGTTTCTCAGTATGGGAACAAAGGTTTCGTTTTTCTATTGTTACTAGGTTATGAAAAAAGAAGTCTCAAAGGATGTTTTTTTTTTTCCAAGTGTGTCAGTGTCATCCATCCTAATTTGCTACTTTCATTTTTATTGTATGAGGCACTTAAAAAGGAAGCACAAAAGAGGTTTAATTCTTTATCCTTATGTAAAGTTAGCTTGAAGTCTAAACGCTTGCATGGTCAGAATTTATTTTTCTAGAGAGGGTGGTTTGGGGTAGTTTCTTTAAGTCCAGTTTTTTTTTCAGCTTTGTGTGAAATTTGAGTGAAAATGGATAAAGCCAAACATTATTTTGATAAAACCTCTAGGCCTATTAGCAATCAGTATGATGAGATATGATGGGCTGTTATTAGATCAGCTACAGATGACTCCCCCATGTGGTTTGGCCTATATATTATGGCCTATATTATCAAATTAGCACCATTAAAAATATGCTGAATCAGACAGCAATTAGCAAATTATGTCCGCAGTGCTCCCATGGATATACAGATAATGATCACTGGTTTACTTTAACACCAAAGAAAACCTTTTTTTTTTTGTACAGTATACTGTCTAAGCAGACTGCCCCCCCAATAGTTGAACAGTTGTGTCATTAGTCAAGAGACCTGCGATCCTGACTGACCTAAGATGGGGCATGTTTATAGGATTCGATTTCAGGCGTTGTGAAAATCTGAGTTTAAATGTATTTGGCTAAGGTGTAACTTCTGACTGTAGGTATGAGTTTGTATGGATGAGGCATCACCTTGTATATCCAGGATCATGGTACCATAAGACCTCATGCCTGCTGGTGTGGAGGCCTTTTGGGTCCCCCTTTTTTTTTTTTTTTTATCATCTGTCAAACAACTCAGACACTGACTATAAACATATGAAGTGATCAGTGAATTGGCCTTCAGTTCGATGTATTGGTTTAATCCCTTTTTTCTCTGTCTGTCCTTCTCCCTTTCTCAGGCTTCATCTCTGTTCTGTACTCTCACATTCAGTTAAAGAGAAGACAAGCTGTCTTCTCTTTATCTGCCCCCTCTCTCACTGTGATCTGTGCATTTCACTCTTCGTCTCTGTTGCTTGAGTTCCCACTTTGACTATTCTTCTGGCATTTTTCTCACTATCATTAAGGGCGATGGGTTATGTTGTTCAGCTAACAAGCTCTGTGACTGAAATCGTGAAAGGGTTCTTCCTGTTATTCCCACGCTCTGCCGCTCTTTAGCTTTGAGAAATGGAATCATTCAAAGAGGTCAACAAGAGCATGTGAAGAGGCTCCTGCTGACTATGTGAGTGTGCAGGGAGCACTGAACATCAGAATATTTGCTAGTAAAAGATTTTGTAGCAAAGAGAAGAGGTGCAGAAGTTTTGTTCTCTCGTTTCCATTTTCTCTCGGTCAAATTACAGTAACTACCTAAAACTAAAATGCAGATGTAGGTGTTTAGGTAGTTACTGTTAAACTCTTAACTAACCTTTTAGAAAAAAAGCATATTTTCAAAGAGTGCAATGAATAAAATAAATACACTGGTTGCAAAATTCATGTAAACCAATAACGTATACAAATCCCCTATAAAGTGTAGAAATGTTTCCAAATGACACTTGTGGTCAGGCACATCGCTTTTAATTATCACATTTAATTATCCTTTACCTGTGACAAACTGAATTAACTGCACATAGCTTAGAAAATTCTGAGAAATGAATCAGGACAAAAAGCAAGCCATGACATCCAAGGAACCCCTTAAACCTTCATGATAAAATTGTGGAGGTGCAAAGGTCAGGACAAGGGTTTTAAACAATTTCTAAAGCTTTGAGTGCTCCCAGGAGCAAAGGAGCCTCAATACTTGTTAAATGGAAGATGATTGGAACCACCAGGACTTTTCCTAGAGTTGGCCATCCAGCCAACTAAATAACTGGACAAGAAGAGCCTTGGTCGGAGAGGACACCTAAGAACTCAGTGGTCACTCTAACAGAGTTTCGCAGGTCCTCTGCAGAGATGGAAGAACCTAACAGAAAGATGACCATCTCAGCAGCTCTCTATCAGTCATGCCTGTATGGTAGAGAGGCTAGATGGAAGATGCTCATCCATTCCACTCCATGGAAGCGTCTCCTGGAGGATGGCTTATGTTAGGACAGTTTAACAGTCTGCTGTCAACCGTTGGGCCTTGTATCACCAAAATGACCATGACCTACAGGAAGTCAGTTGGTCCCACTGAGCAGCTGAACATTAGTTTGCAGTAGGTCGGCACTATATTTTGAGTCACCACCACAAAAGTCCTGACTCTCAGTTCATCTGAATGGGCAACAGAAGAAAGTTGATGACATTGGGCGTTTTTCTGCTGTGAGTTGAAGGTTTTTCATATGGAGGTTTTCAGGGTGCTTCTGGATAACACGCGAGGCACTTGGCAACACAGAAGCAGCAGGCAAAATGCTTCACTCCCATTAACAACAATTAGAGTCTGACTGCTATAATGCACTCTGTCTGATCAGGGCCTTGCCCAGAAAGACTCCAAGCTGCAATGGCTGTCAAAGTGGCTTTTACAAGGTAGTGAATTAAGGGTCTACCCTACCCTCATCCATCACACAGATGGTTAAAAAAAATCTATTTTGTTAAGATCTGCTTCCCAGTTGCTTTGGCCTATAGTGCCATTAAAGCAAGGTGATGCTTATGGACCCTCATGCTTATGAAAAAATACAAAGGGGCGATTGTCGGCTGTTTTCATGTCTTTTCTAGCCTGTTTTACATCAAGACTCATCCAGGTGTCCTTTATCAACATTAACTTCTGAAAATGGATGTAGGCATTGTAGTTTTCACTATGGACCACGTAGCTGAGTGTGTGTGTGTGCCAAATCACCCATCAGCCTAGCAGATGGAATGTGCCCCCGCACCATTTGGCCTGTTAGCTGCCTGGCCTGTGTCTAGTAGTTTAGGCTTACCACTTGCCAGCCATCAGTATGCTTGAAATTAACCTTTGTAACAGTGTATGGCCTCACTTCTCTCACATGGGGATAACTTTAACCCAGCTATCAGATGTCTGCAAGTGATTTAGCACCGGGATCTTCACAGACTTGCAGTGTGAGACAGGAGAGCAGCAACCATCACTTGGATATTCCCTAACCTTTTCACAAACAGATCTACTCACCAAACGAGAACAGTTCTGGGAGCAATCAAAGTTCATTTCTTACCTAGCAGGATTGTAGCAAGACATCATTGGTACAGAAAAACAAACCTCTCTCTCGATTGCCTATATCAACTTTATCTCCCTACACTCACAGGACATAACATACATTAACTATTGATCTATAATACTCAATTTTCTAATCTGCTGTGTGTCTGTCTCCTTCCTGTCCTACAGTCCCCACAGAAAAGCCTCCTTCTCTGGGCCCTGTAGCTCTCGCAGCAGTGATTGCCGGCCCGGTGTGTGTTTTCTGCCTGCTGCTTGTTGTGGCGTTTTATGTTTGCCACAGCCACAGGGGTCTGGCAGCAGGTGGTGCTGGGGCCCACCATCACCACCACCATTGTGTGCCCAATGAAGAGGACCCATCCATGGATCATCCCTTCATCACTGTTGGAACAACTCTAAAGGACCTCATCTACGACATGACCACCTCTGGCTCTGGATCAGGTAGGCGCTCTGGATCAGGTAGGCACTCCAGGGTCCTCGTGTTCCTGGACAGTGTGGGACAACTGTGTATGTGCATATTTATTTGTTTGTGCATTACACCATGACTATCAATTGAAAAAGCAGATAGTTCTGTAACATCAATTTTGTAACCTCTTTTGTTGCAGGGGTACTTATCTTTGTGCCGGATTACTTGTCCAGTTGCATTCAGGTCTCTGCTAATTTCTTGACAGCCTCACTGGGATGCCAGGACTCTTAAGAAATGGTCTTTGAGTTGCAGCAGAAGGCTTATTTACCACAGTTTAGTTATAAATGAGGATGGTGCTTTGCATTTGTCATGGTTCATTCAATGTGTATTTTGTAACATTTAAAGGTCTAACTGTAAGAGGACAGCTCAGTGTAGCACAGCAGTGATTACAATCTCAGCTACAGAGCAGCTAACGGAAATTACAGCTTCAGGTTTCAAAGTACACTGTGTCTCTGTATCACTTTACAGAGCTGTGACTCACAGCAATTATACCGGTGTGTAGCAGTCTGCTACGGTCCATGTGGTTCCTAGTAAACAAGACCCGACCTGAGTTAGGCCAGGTCTAAATTATAGGCTTATAATAGATCCAGTCTGTATCCAGTCTGTGTGTCAGTGTGTCCAGTAGCTGAGTAGACACAGGAAGACTCTCTGATAGGTCTGATAAAGTGGTGTCATCACAAAAGAAACCAGCTTTATTTTGAGACAACATAGTATTAGGTAAGTGTATTTAGCAAGTGTATTACAGCAATTCTTAGTATCAGTGTAATGTGTTAACTGCAGGTGGTCATGAATTAATGCCTCATTAAGATGCTGTTTGTGTTGTTACTTTTTTAAGTTTCAAAATTATGCAAATAATAAGAAATGTATTTTATCTGTACTCATATCTCAGGGTTTAGGCCAGTGAGGCATATGTTTCCATGCATAAAACAGTGACAAAACCAGGGGAGAGAAGCTTTCTATTTCCGGGTCTGCAAGTATTGCAATACAGGCTGTAGGTGCATTTTTGATCTGCTTTGCTATCTGCCAAAGCATTGTAACACCAAATTAAAATAAATTGCTAATTTATTAGTTGTGCAAACAAGTCTCCAAGCTAAGTAACCAGGGCTCCAACAGTAGTAAACTGAAATAATCAATTGTATCTTATCTAATGACGCATTTTGCTAAATGGAATGCTAATAATAGCTAACGTTAGCCATTACATCAACTGGGGGATTGTCCAGGATAGCTATGCTGCCTTACAACAAATACTGATTAAAATCAGAGAAATTTAGAAATTTGAGTTAGCCAACATTATTAAACAGGTCTTAGAGATGCTACCATTCAGAATTATGTGGTTTATACGATAGAATTGTCTGAGCGTAATCCTTATCATACAGGTACTGCGTTTCACTGGGTTTCACATTTCTGGTTGACAGCTTCTTTCAGAACAGATTTAACAGTGAAATCCTGTCTCTTTACCTGCACAGATACAGTGGGTACGGAAAGTATTCAGACCCCCTTAAATTGTTCACTCTTTGTTATATTGCAGCCATATGCTAAAATCATTTAAGTTCATTTTTTTCCTCATTAATGTACACACAGCACCCCATATTGACAGAAAAACACAGAATTTTTGACATTTTTGCAGATTTGTTAAAAAAGAAAAACTGAAATATCACATGGTCATAAGTATTCAGACCCTTTGCTGTGACACTCATATATTTAACTTAGGTGCTGTCCATTTCTTCTGATCATCCCTGAGATGGTTCTACACCTTCATTTGAGTCCAAGGGTCTGAATACTTATGACCATGTGATATTTCAGTTTTTCTTTTTTAATAAATCTGCAAAAATGAAAACTAGCTCTGTTCCTCTTTCTATTAGCAAAACTGGAATCTCTAGATGGAGTTTGTGCAACATGCACCAAACAACAGTTCACCACAATGAAAATGGAGAAATCAAAGCAAAACTAGTGATAAATGGCCAACTCAAACTACAGTATAACCTCTCAGACCCGCACTGCACACTGAACTGAGGCACACACGACTTCCTTGGACGAGGTAATTTGATGCATTTTAAAAAACCAAAAAAATACCCTTTCTATTATTACTGTTCAAAACACCCACTTTTTCCTCCGAATTTCTGCCATTATATACTGTAAAACATTAGACAGTTTATAAAAGAATTAAACTGCAAGTTGCGGTTTAAAATAAAGGTAATTACAAATACACGATGACTTGTTACATTTCAGTTTGTGTGATACTGTTTGTGGGAGTACAGTGTGTGTCAGTATATTTTAAGGGCTGAAGCGTGCACACAGTGTTCTTTCTGTGTGTGTGTGCCCGTATTACCAAATGCTGGTCCCCATTTTGTAAACCATTAAATTTTAAGGCAACGACTTGGTTTATGGTTAGTAAGGATTAGGCAAGTAGTGTCTGTCAATGGTAGGCTAAATCCCCAGGAAATTAATGTAAGTTTATGTAAAATCTCCATGCGGAAAGAAAAGAAATGTGTGTGTGTGTGTGTGTGTGTGTGTGTGCGTGTGTGCGTGCACGCACGTGCACTTGCAGCAATAAGACCCCAATGCTGCCCACATACTAAAAGTAGAAGTCTGTTAAAATGACGAAGATTCAGGCAACACACACACACAGTACTGGCAAAAGCTGATCTTTACTCTAGCCATGAATTTGCACCTCTCTGTGAAGACTGGCACCTCTAACATGCTGCTAAGGAAGGACTTGGATTCAGCCTTTCTGGCTGTGTACACCATATTGCACAATATGCAGTTGTGTGTGTGACTGGTGCATTGTGTGTTGTGTCAGAATTGCGTGGGCTGTTTTAATTACTTTGAGTCAGAGTGTGTGTGTGTTGCCTTTTGAAATTGGAGCAGCATGTTCATTCCACTTCTGTTTTCTGTTTTCTCATCAGCAGTTTGTCAATCTAGTCTGCAGTCAGCTGCATATACTATATAACCTTCCTGTAGTTATTACAGGATTTGAGTTAATATTGAAAGTTGTATAGCCAGAAGAGGCATTAACTCTTCCAGCAAATCCAGCTCTTCAGCAAACAAACTTTTAACAAAGATTTGACCGTAAAGTTGTCAAACGTTTCCCATGGAAGGTACAGTTTTATCAGAATCTGCTGTTTGTTATTGAATAGCAGATAAATCTAACATTTATTTCCTCTTTGTTCACTTTCTTTTGGCAGTAGACACCACAACATTTTAAAATCCCCTGTTATAATCAGTGCTGGATAACACACAGAATTAATCATTCAGTTATATATGGTGACATTCAAAACATTTTTTCTCAGATTGATCATTACATTTATATAACATGAAACTGGCTCTGGACATTAAAACGTGATGATATTTCTCTTCTAGGCAAAAGCTGTCTCATGATATCAGTACATAATAGAACCAGGCCAGTGTGCAGGACTGTGGCCATACATTTAGATTAATTTGGCAAAAACACAACTCCCTGCTCTGTCTTAACGTCCCTATGGTGCATTTCCTGTGGCCCAAATTCAACAGTGAATAGCAGCAAATACTCATACTAACAAGGTAAACAAGAGTCCTCTTCCCATGGGAGTTCACGTCCCCGATTGTCCCTCGTATGTGACTGCCAGATGATGTCACCTTTCACTGTGGTGAGGGTGAAAATAGCATATATGGTCACACACAGCTTCTGTTAGAAGCTCATGTATAACTAATGCACTGTTATATGGTCTGAAGAGACTTGTGAAATCATACAGGAGGGAAGCCAGTTGAGTTTGTGGCAAAACCTTTTACAGCGCTTGCATATTGTCTTTTACTGCACATGACCATTCATACTCAGAAAGTAGAACTGAAGTGACATTCATTACAAGATGATTAGTTCTGCTCTGTCATTGGAACCCCTAGCACAAGTACTCAGTCATGCATTGATTCAAATGTAAATGAAATTATAAGAGAGAACTACAATAACATCTAAAGCAAGACAAAAATTTGGGCACTTGTAAAGTATCTGTTAAGCGTAGGATCAGTGTAACTAAAATGAATGTTTTACCTTAGCCTAACTTTATGTTTTTATGTTGCCATTCCCTTTTCCTCCTAGGTACTCTAAGGAAATACACTATATTTGATGGTATCTGAATTATATATAGAGTGGTGGGGTTTGGGCTGCATAATTTAGAACTTCACTACTAATCATTTCATATTAGAGCTATTCTGTACATGTGTGGAGATTAATTGAATCATCAGTAGTGAAAACACACACATGACAAGATCTTTTATTTGGTGGTACAAGACGATCAGTGTAACATCTAACATTACTGTAGCTGTTAATAGATGGGGAAAGCCAAATAACTGAGTTTGGCTGAAGGCTACTGCTGTGTGGTAGTCTAGTCATGCATGCACGTTTTTTTTGAGAGCGCTGTGATAATGATGGGCTCTGCTCGTTTCAGACTCTTAACACTAGGTTTGCCCTGCTGACATCTGCTTATTTTGCCTTCAACTAAGATCTACTTTAAACGCATAGGAGAGCTGTGGGACTCTCCTCGTGCCACTCACCCAGTGTTAGAAATGAATCAAGTCCACGTCACAAAGTTTGGTTTGTGTGATCTATAACAAGTTTACTGAACATTTTGTAAAGTCACCCTCAGTTTTATCACTGAGGAATGGGCAGTTACGGGGTTTCAGTAAGGAGCCAAGTTGGGATAACAAATGGTCTAATCTCCGTGTAACATCTAAGAATGTGGTTATCCACAGAGCACACACACGATACCCTATAAATGATTTCAGATGAGACTGCAACCCAGCTACACTTGTTACTTATACATTGCAACTCTCCAGTTCTCCACATGATATGGGTATGCCCATGAGCTGTCAATTTTTGGAGTCATGTTTGTAGTGTTAGTGGATCATATGAAAATTGTTGATGAGCCTAATCCTTGTCTTCATCTTATTCATAATGACTCTCGCAATCCAATTGGCACGTTCATTTTCTTGATTGATGGCTGCCGAGAAACATTCCTTGCTGTAAGCTTCACTTCCTGTTGCAGAGGAGCTAAAAAACATGGACTGTTGTCAGCGACAGTAATACAACTGTGACCCACTTTATTGTTGTTTATCACTGGTTTTCCTAGTGACCTTTTATGTATGGACCTTCCTCCTTTCCTTTTTATATATAGTGTTGATGTTATGTTTGTGTTATGCATTTTATTGATTACAAAAAATAGTTAAAGAACACAAACAATAGTAGAGACAGTGGAGCATCTGTGTTTTATTAAAGGGATTTACAGCTGACAGTCTTCCTACACAACATGTTCCCTTCACCATGATGCTTTTGCCTTTAAAAATGTTTTCTTTTTTTCCTTTGTTTCTTTCTAGGTCTGCCGCTGCTGGTCCAGAGGACCATCGCCAGGACCATCATCCTCCAGGAAAGCATTGGTAAAGGGCGTTTCGGGGAAGTGTGGCGGGGCAAGTGGCGTGGTGAGGAGGTGGCCGTGAAGATCTTCTCCTCCCGTGAGGAGCGTTCCTGGTTCCGCGAGGCTGAGATCTACCAGACCGTGATGCTAAGACACGAGAACATTCTTGGCTTCATCGCTGCTGACAACAAGGGTGAAAAACCTCTGAAGTGCTCTAAGAGGGTGGATTAAGATAAGACTCAGACATTCCTGTGGGGATTAGCATACAGTGAGGATGAGTGTAATATTTAACAGACAGGACAGAGCCAGCTGAAAGATGATAGAATAATTAAAGAAATTAATGAGTGGAGAACAGAATATACACTCACCCGCCTCTTTATTAGGTATACCCGTACAATTGTATACACTTCAGTGCAACATTTCCACCTTAACATTTGTGTTTTTAAAGCTCAGAATTTTTGCGTTTTTGGTGAAATTGTCATGAATTTATAAATTCAATGACATATTTATTATTGAGGACATAGTTAAAGGTGGTGTTGTACTGGACTACATTATATTCAGAGGTGTTCTTAATATTCTGACCCTCATGTATGTAGCCGGGGAGGACAGAAAATATAGACACACCTGTGAATATAATATAGTCCACTATAACACTACCTTTAACAATGACCTCAGTAATAAACATATATAACAATTTATAACTATGACAATTTCACAAAAAACTGAAACATTGTGAGCTTCAAAAACACAGATGTGAAGGTGGAAATGTTGCATTGAAGTGCATACAGTTGTACCGGTGTACTGAATAAAGTGACTGGTGAGTTTCATTGAGGGACTAAATAAAGTTCCATCTAAGAATCAAAAGTGATTCAAGTGTATCAGTATGGAACTGTGCATATTAATCTTTCTGATCAACATCATCTGTATATGACAGTGTGGGCTGCTTTAATTCCAAATGAAACAGCTTTGCAAAAGGTGAAGGTAGTGTGACAAGTATACATTGTGAATAGACAGACTGGTAGACAGTGTGGGGGAGTAACTGTTTAATGAAAACCAAGCAGACATCACCAGCACAGAAGCACGCCCACCAACACACACACACCCACACACACACACGCACACACACACACACACACACACACACACACACACAGGAGGGCTAGGGCTGTGAGACAGCCTGGAAGCAAATGGATGTTGTGTGTTCTTTACTGTTAGACTGACAGGAGGTTCTTCAGGTCGCTATTGATACATGGTGTATACAGTAGGGTATGATGCAAGGCATGGGGACAT